CCTGACCACACCGATCTTTTCCCAGAATAGATCTTTGGTAAAGGTGTGTGAGCGTGAGTTGTCTTTGTTGCTGACGCTGATGCTTCCTCTTTCGTAAATAGAAAAATCTCGGAACGGAATCTATCCGTAGTTTAAACCGAGAAGTGAATTATTTAAAAAAAATCACAAGATGAGTGAACCGATGCAAGATTCCCAGAAAAGAAATTCAAGGCAAGAAATAAACCCCAGTACAATGGAAGACCGTGATTCGTGGAGCGGAGGCGGGAGAGAGGAGGAGAGGAGTAGGTGAGTGTGTGTGTGTGTGTGTGTGTATGTGTGAGTAAGAAACAAAACAAACCCGTTCTCCAACAGTTCCTATATACACAAATCCCTCTCATAAAAACTCTAGACCAACGCACGCGACACGACAGCTTGCTTTCCAGCGCGTAGTCGACATAGTGCCTGGCCCACAAACGGACATGGGGTTCTGAATTGCCCAAAACCCAGTCGTTTACACTTTCCCCCATGCCACGACCGCTCTGTTACCGCCGTGGTACCCACTTTTTGGACCCTTGCAAGCCAGGGAGAAAAAGACCCCAAATATAGCTGGCAGGGGCGCGATTGGACGACAGCGCTCTACAACAGCCATGCACAAGCGGGATGGGGGACGTGCGTTTTTTGCCTTTCTTTTTTGGTTCGCTCGACTACCGAGGCGCTGAAAGGCGAGGAAGAAGAGAAAAGAGATTGACGTGCTGCGTTCTAGGCTATATGGGGAGATGGCGCGAACACCTGACGGGGGAGGCGGGTTGAGCAGTGAATATCCTGGGAGCGGAGCGTGAAACTGGTGCTGGTCATGATGAGCAATGATTTCATGAGTAGTGTAGTCATCTGGCTACACGTGAACATGTTGCTTTTACGCTGATGCGATGCTGACCGCAAGCATGGCGCTGTTCTCCAAATACCCAAGGGCTTGCGCAATACATACAGCTGCACGTTACGCCTTACACGCAAGTCGATCCAACAATATACCCATCTCGCGAAGAAATCAAGTATCATTACACACAACACACCATACCAGTACCCCAGCATCTCAACACCGGTGGAAATTACTACACCCCAAAATAATCCCCTTCCATTGCGCAAACCTCCCAAGGGGGGGGGCAGCCAGCCCACCCACCCGCAGAGCCGCCCGTACTACACCATACATAGCCCTTCCTTTCCCACTTCCCACCTACCCGCCCTCTGTTTACCATGTCCCCCGCACCAAACCCCTTCCAGAAGGTCCAGATAAAATAGCTAGAACAAGGATAATAAATAGATACATAAAGTGTCCCTAATATAGCCCAGCAAGAAATGGACAGCTAATATGGCTCCACTGGGACTAGCCGCGAGGAGGAAGAAAGGCGTGCGGGTGGAGCCAATCATATGGGCGGGAGCGGGGCCGGGCGCGAAGGATAGGCGAAAGAACGGTGGGCGCGTGGAGAGCGAGCGAGGTGGCGGGCAGACCGGCCGGGTAGCGGATGGGCGAGTTTGCATGGCGTTCGGGTAACTACCCGTATTCTCGGTGTGGAGAGCGGGATGCTTGAGTCAGAATGGTCTGATTACGTGGATTTTTGTTGTTGTTTTCTTTTTCGAGAAAGATTGATGGGTGGAGTTCAATTGAGTATGTGTGTGATTCGTTTTGTGTAGTAGTAACTAGACAGAAATCAAGGTGTACTGCATGTGTTCTAACTTTACACATCAAAGGCTCTTGGGCGCATCGCTGTGCCGGTATCCAGATACCAGAAGAATTGCTTGGAGGTTTGGATGGATGACACGAATTCAACTTTGTTTCCTGTCATTTCTGCTACTCTGAAGCGTGTGTACAAGGAATATCTGCGTCTCTTGGAAGGTAGGTTTGCGACTGGGCAGGTGTAGAAAAAACTATTCGTCGAGTGTTTAGCGCTTCCAAGTATTCGAGTACACAGCCGCCGGATAGAGCAGGTGCCGGTGCATTGTCATACCAAGGAACCTGTTTGTACAAGGCAAAGTCTAGAATCCTGTAGCCTTGGACTTTCGACATGTTTAGATTGCCAATTGCTAGGCATGTGGGTCTAGTCCTGTGAGAGGTGCGTGTGACATGGTGTTTTCGAATATCCTCAGTATGGCAACCACATGTCGAAAAAAATGGAAAAAAGGGCGTGGCACAGCGTACACAGCTTGGTTGAGCAAAATAAAAAAAGGGCAAAAAAGAACACGTATCAGACCCCGGTTCAAAGTACACATTGTACCAGGCGCGTACGTATACGGCGGAAACGTGTAACTCTACATCCTGACAAGAAGGAGAAAAGTCCCTTGTGGAAACGACCCTAATAGTACATGTCCAAACAACAAACACCATCCTGTGTCCCCATGACCTCACAAATTGCATCATGAATGGCCTTCATCCTCATTATGCCAAACATGCGTGTCTTCAGCCCCTGGAAGAGGCCCTCCCGGTCCGGCAGCAGCAACAGGCGCTGCTCCAGCCCCTGCCTCGTAACTAAAGAGAAAATAGAAAACCATGAAATGAAGCGCTAGCAGGTATCCCGCAAACATGTTTCGACTCGTACGCGTCTGTAGCACAAACTTTGTGACGCGTAAAATCATGCGTTCAAAGAGGTGCATGCGCTTCATTGCTCGAGCGCTTTCGCGACCCCGGAAGGCCGCAAAAGGGCTGATATTGGACTCGTATGCTGACCGGTATTTTGTATCGACGGCCGAGGCGCCTCCATCGCCCATGTTAATGGCTGAGGGGTTCGGGTTTGCAGCAAAGCTCGAGGCACTGGATGCAGGGCCCCTGTTGACCGCATTGTAACTGCTGACATACCTGGTCTTTTCGTAAAGATCCAGATTGTCCTTTTGCAAGGCTCCGACTTCGCTTCGGAGAGAGGATATGGTCTGGTAGGACTTCTGGAGCTCGGCTTCGAGTTCGGAGTTACGCTTCTTGAAGCGATCGCGCTGTGCGGTGACCATGGGGAGGATGCCTGAGCCTCCTCCCATTTCACCACCTCCACCTCCTGCACGAAGAGAAGCAAGAGTTGGGGCTTGTGATGAATTGTCGAACCCTGAGATGATTGAAGATGTAGGTGATGAGCGACCTTTTCGACCACCAAAGGATGATTGTGGGAATCGCGAGACATATGTACCCGCAACTGACATGCCTGAAGGATCAAAGGCATTTGTGGCCTCTTGCTGGACTTTTTCAAGATCAGCCTCCAGGGTCTCGTTGAGCTGTCGTGACTTTTCCAAGTCCATGTTTGTATTTGACAGCTCCTCTTGAAGCGCCTCTAGCCTGATCTGCAGATCTTGATGTGACACGCGCATGACTGTAAGCTCGTTGCTGAGTTTCTTGTTACGAGCAAGCAGGAGCTGTTCCAGTGTCTCTCCCTTGCCTTTGCCAGATGCACCGTTTTGTGAGAGTGCAATCTCAGTAGCCTCGTCGTCATCGTCGCCAGTTGCGAACTCGATTGACTAGCGCAGGTTAGCATGCATCCTTGGTTGTATACTCTGAGAAGTCATACCTTCAAGACCTCGAGTTCCTGCTTGACGTTCTCGTAGTCACTCCATCTTTGGACCTTTTCGCGAAGCGCTTCTTTCTCGCTCTTTAAAGACTTGATCTCCCGTTCCAAGCTCCGCATTTCCGTTTCCAGGCGCGTCCTGTCGGAATCCTTTTCGAAACGCGCATTTTCCAGCTTTCGCAGGAGTGACGAGTTTTCAGATCGCAGGCGTAGGAAGGCAGGGTCGTCTTCAATTGCGACTTGTTGAGCCGGTGCCGATGCAGACTGAGCCAACTCCAGACGTAGATGTTCGTTCCGGGCCGTAATCTCGGCCAACCGGTGGCTTGTTCGCTCAAGCTCCGAGCTGACAATCTCGAGCTCCGCAGCTGTGGCACCTCGACTTCCTTCTTCGGCGGCCTCTCCCTGACCAAGTCGCTGTGAGACCTCATAGCTGGCCTTGAGCTCCTTCAGCAGCCGATCCTGGTTCTCAACCTTCTCTTCCAGGGCCTTCTCCTTAGACTCCCAGTTGTCCTGCTTCTCGCTCAAGACAGCCGACCATGATGCCTCAACCTCCTTGATCTTGCTGTCGCGGCTATCTTCAAGAGCCTTGCGTGCGGTACGCTCCTCTTCCAGCTTCTTCTCCGACTCATCGAGCTGTGTTGTAAGCCTGGCTACGGTTTTCTGCAAGCGCTCATTTTCAGACGTGAGTTTCGGCACGAGCTCCTCGGATGTTACGAGGGAGTCGACGGAGGCTTCGAGCAGAGGATATGGGTCGGGAGCCTCGGAAAGCGGCGAGTAGACTTGGAAGAAGGCGGCTTGTACGGTCTTGGACTGGTTGGATATAAGATCAATGAAGTTTTGGTAAGCTGTCAAGTTGGCTTAGCATAAGCAAGTCAATCCCAGTGCGCTGCTACGTGCTTACACTTGAGGAGGCCTTTGATGTCGTTGAGTTTGCTCGCGTCGTCTAGTTTCCTAAAGTCTTTTGTCTTCTGCGCGAGGTCTTTTCTTTGCGTAAGAGTGTCTCGCTGGTGCGCAACGAGGTCCGAGGCTACGATATCAAGTTGTGGGATGAGCGAGGTGAGGTCGATGTCTGGCGCATTGTCAGCCTATATGTACAGATTGGTTCTGCAGTGAGCAGTCCATACTTCTCCATGCACCGATGGCCTTTTGGAACTTGTTGCCTTCTTCGGGAACATGTCCGGGTTCTTGCGATTGCTCGCTGGTGGCTGGTGGAGCCACGACGGTGTCCTCCATGTCAATGCCACCCTCCATGGTAGCGCTGCGGTCGTCGGTGCCAGCTGTGGAAGACGTATGGATATTTGCGTGCAGCACTGGATCTTGTGGACGACGCGTTGAAGGTGACTAGGTGGACGTGGTGGGTTACGTATGCATGCCAGGTGCCCATGAAACTGCGGAGGGTGCGGCGTTAGGCGGCCCTAATTGGTGGGCTGGGCTACTATGGAGCATAGGAAGCGCGATGCATGGTACATAGCTTGCCAGGCTCCCGACTACACATCCACCCACAATGACATCCCAGGCATAGCCGGTCATGGCGCATGTGATGCTTCAACACCATGGCAGAAGCATCTTCCCAGTCGCAGCTGTCCGGGCGGCGTCCCCCGCAACACGGCCCCTACATCCTCCGCAAGCTCGTCGCCAACCTGCCACTGGCCGCTGATGGCGCCTCCGACAATGTCCGCATCACCTGCGTAGAGGTGTCGGGTATGTATTTCCCATTATCCCCAGCCGTCCTGGGGCTTGCTGACCTGTGAAGATGGCAATCTCTACGTCGGTACTTCGGCCGCCGAGATCCTTCACTTTGTTCTGCTGCCACCCGAGTCCGACGACCCTGCTGAAGAACCCACGGCCATCATCGCCTCAAGATTGGAGCCTCCGCACAACGATCCCAATGGACCCGGTGTACAGCAGATCTTGCTCCTTCCCAGCATCAACAAAGCCTGCGTGCTTTGCAACAATACCTTATCGCTATACTCGCTCCCTGAATTGAGCCCAGACTCAACCTTCAAGCCCATCGGATGCCTCTGGGTCGGAGGTGTGGACCTCAACCAAGATCTAGATGCACCGTCTGAAGATGGCGTCGTGGTGGTCATTGGATTGAAGAAGCGACTGCGACTGGTGCAGATATCCGAGAACTCACCCCCAAAAGCCATCAAAGCAATCGAGTATGGAGGCTGCTTGGTATCAGTACGCCGCGATACCTTTTCGTGTGCCGCCGATGCCCACTCCTATGCGCTTCTTGATGTGGTGCACCAACAGAAGATTGGCCTCTTTCCCATCTCATCTTTGGATCCAGATGTTGGTGACGTAGGTGGGGCCGCCGAACATCTGGCTACCGTGCCGAATGCGCCATCTAGAAGTATCTCTTCAGCTAGTCCACAGCCGCGTCTGGAAGAGCAACATAGTCATGTAAGAAGTACAAGTTTGAGCGTTCTAGGCTTGAGCGGTCACACCTCCCGCACCGCAAGCCCGCGTCCTGCAGCACAACGATATGGCTTTGATGTACCAGAGTCGTTGTCTCGTGATATGTCGCCAGCCCCAGCACGGTCATCCTTAGAGGGAACAGACAGAGCATCTAGTCAATCTCGGGTCGGCGCAACTTCGCCCAACAAACCTCTGCCTGCACCTCCTTCGGAAGATAACCAGCCTCAAGAGGAGCCTTCACTACCTGAACCGCCTCGTTTCATCCCGCTGAAACCTCATGTCGCATCACCAAATCCAAATGAGTTCCTGCTTACAGTGGGTACTACGCCCACTGATCAGGGTGTTGGTATGTTTGTAAATCTTGATGGTGACATGTGTCGCGGAAGCATTCAGTTCAGCAGTTATCCCGACGCCATTGCGGTAGACGGGTCCGGGGTAGACATGTCCGGATCTATGGGCACAAACATGAACGCTGAGGAGGGCTACGTGTTAGCTGTTGTGCATAGAGAACATGAGGGTACCCTGACCTATGGCGTGGAGATTCAACGGTGGGATGTGGACCCAAGTGATGGGGAAGTTGATAAACACTGGCTCAACTTCAGTCCGCTGGGTCTCACAGTGGATGACAACGGCTCCTATATCTCAGCTCCAGTCGGTATGCGTACTGTGGTTCGGCCTTATGACTTGGTCATCCCAGAAGTAGGCGCAAAACTGACCGTGCAGCCACTGCGGCTTGAATACTCTGAGACTGCTTCAGGAAAATCTGCAGAAAAGCCAAAAGCTCAAACAAAAGCAGATCGGGATTTCGTTGAGCGCCTCTCAAAGTTGCAGTCGCAAACTGTTGTTTGGGCTGGAGATCAGATTTGGTGGACCGTACGCAATCCACTGGTGACTCGTCTAGATGCTCGAATTGAGGAGGCTCAATATGCCACTCAAGGAGATAGGACGCGTATACAGCCGAATCGAGCATTACTGGAGAAACTACTTGGTGATATACGGGGGCAGGAGCCACGCAACGAGTCAGAGTATCTCAGTCTCATTTACATCCGCCAAAAAGCCTCACTCATGCTCTTTATGGACGTGGTTCTCCGCACCAAGACGAACATCATCATATTCGAGAATGAGAAGCGCATCACCGAGCAAGCACTGATTGAGGGTGAGATAGATCCCCGGGTTGTCCTGAGTCTCATGCCCATTCTCAGTAAGGAGGTAGTCCAAGGATCCGATGGCATACAGATATATGGCGGAATCACGACCATGGTAGAGCAGTTTCTGCGTCAAATTGACTTTTCCGCCATGTCGACTAACGCCAATGGGCCGTTTGGGGACAACTTGCTACATTTCGTCAAGCGCTATCTTCAATTTTGGAAGAGGCGGAAAGGAATGGCAAGCGTAACAAATGACCCTCATGTGTTCAAGACTATTGATGCAGCACTGCTTCACATCCTTCTGCTCTTGGACCAGGGAACTTCAAAGGGGACATCAAGCCCAGGCAGCCACCGAGCAGAGCTTTACGAACTTGTCGATAGAGAAGTCGAATGCTTTGACAGAGCTGTCGAATTACTCGAACAATTCAAGCGTCTCTACGTACTTAGTCGGTTATACCAAGGTAATTGCAAAGCTTCTGTCAAGTCATCCAAGGTGCTTGCAACCTGGAGGCGGATCATTGAAGGCGAAGAAGACAGGGGCGGCGAGCTTGTAGATGGCGAGCTCAAAGTGCGAGAATACTTAAGCAAGATTCGCGACCAAACCCTAGTCGAAGAGTACGGCGCATGGCTCGCAAATCGAAACCCTAAGCTCGGCGTCCAAGTCTTTGCTGATGACCAGAGCAGGGTCAGATTTGATCCTGCACGAGCTGTTAATTTACTAAGAGAGAAGGCGCCGGGTGCCGTCAAAGAGTACCTGGAGTACCTTGTGTTCGGAAGCAGGAAGGTTTGTTTAGAAGGTCGATCCTTGTCGGTATTTTCACTAACATCGTTTGCAGCATCCACAATACGTGAACGAACTGATTGCCTTCTATCTTGATACGGTCATCAGCGAGCTCGAGAAGAATCCCGAGTCGCGTGCTACGTTGTCCGAAGGCTACGAGACATACCGCATACTCGAGCCACCCAAACCTACGTACTACTTGTTCATAAGTGACAATGCTAGTGATGTCGAGTGGTGCCGTGCCAGGCTCCGCCTGCTTCAATTGCTTGGCGAGACATCGTCTTACGACGTCAATGCAGTGCTGTCGCGTCTACAGCCCTATGAGCAAGAGCTTGTCTCTGAGATGATCATTTTGAATGGCCGACAGGAAAGACACGAAGAAGCTTTGAAACTACTCACACACGGCCTCGGCGACTATGATACCGCCATAAACTACTGTCTCTACGGCTATGCATCCATCCATCGCCCTGTAACAACTGGTGGCCCCCCAGTTTCGCTCAATCAGATTCCCACTCGTGCAGAGCAATCCCGTTTGTTCGGAGTCCTCTTGCAAGAGTTCTTGAATATTGAAGATCTCTCTCAGCGTGTCGAACGTACGAGTGAACTTCTTGAGCGTTTCGGCGGCTGGCTTGATGTAGCTGATGTTTTGGCGATTGTGCCAGACGAATGGTCCGTGAATGCGTTCTCTGGGTTCTTAATTCATGCTCTTCGTAAGTTGGTTAGAGACAAAGCAGAGAGCGATATTTTGCGGGCGCTCAGCGATGCTCAAAATAGCCAGATGAGCAGTGAACTGGTGGAAAAGCGAGATGAGCTGGGTGCGACATTCGAGAGAGTTGCCTAGGCCTGGAACGTATGGATTGGGATATATTTAGCGAATCTTAATATAAGGAATACTCTGTAAATAAGCCCTTAAATTGATCTGTATTGGAAATTGGTAAACATCTTGGACCAACTATGAAGATGGTTCATGCCTGACCCGCGATGGTCTTGGCATTTGCGTACCCGAAGGCACAAACAACACTCAAGTCTAGACACCAACGCTTCAAACGCCACAGCTAGGTCTGCGCAACCTTGCTTTAATCCGATATTACATTGTCTATTGCACGAGCAGCCATAACACAAAAATGCAGCGCCGTATGGTGAGGGGCATAATTTTCACATTGTGTTCGGCAGTCCGGCGCTAATCGGGTGGCAGCTCACCAAAGACGACGAGGCCACAGCGCAGAGCGAGGATCTCGAGGTACGACGTGAGGATCAAGAGAAGATCAACAGATTCAGTTCTCTGCACCAAAAGGAAGAGATTCTTGAGGAAGAGCTGCGAGCGAAGATTGTACGCCCTAATTGCTTTCTCTAAAACTCACCTCAGACTAACCAGTGAGCACAGAAGGAGAAGGAGGATCTTGAGGAAATCTCGGGTGAACTAGAGCTCGTAGATGAAGAAGAGAAAGTACCGTAAGTTGTTCCATGTAAACTATGTTTATTTTCATTGTTATTCAGAACGAGTTGAATGGTAGACTAATCCACAAAAACAGATACAAAGTAGGCGACTGCTTCATCTCATTACCCCAGCCTCAGGTTCTCGAGCTCCTCAGCTCATCAACCGAGGCCATCGAAGGCGAAGTCGACGCCCTCAAGACGAAGCTCGAGGGGATCCAAGAAGAAATGGGAGAGTTAAAGAAGGCCCTATACGGCCGTTTCGGCCGCAGCATCAACCTAGAGACGTAAAGAAATTCTAGTAGTCCACGAAGCATCTAGACGTTTCTTTGGTCTTTCCTCCTAAGTATGATTCATGGCTGCAGCAAATCAATACAATAAAAAAGAAGAAGAAGAAAATGTATTTTTTAGATACACCCCAATTCCGAAGTTCATTATTACCCCGACTCCGACCTCGGAATTCGCACCGTTACACTATCGGACTAGCAACGCGCACCTCGTGCAGACCGAAGAACACATGCACAGATACGTACGTGACTCAAACTCTTGGCACACACACACACATAATGTAGTATGAGCTGGCCCTTTCTCTCTCTCTCCACCCATGGAACCCGGCCCAGAGCACGTACTAAGGTAATTCTGCCCGGCCTCATACGCCCTATGGAATACAAGCCTTGCCTCTCCTCCCACTATGTAATGGGCTTAACGGGGATAATAGCAACGCTGTTGAGCCGGTTTGTTGCTCAACGGCGCCTGCCCCACACCCCTTGGGATATGGGCTGGGCGCCATGATGGATCCCCGCTTCCCTAATCCAATCTAGAGTCGAGATTATGCAGTCATTTATAAATCATAGCGCATGTATCTGCACCCATTGACGATCGTTGCTTGCACTTGGGGAGAAGCGGGCGGGTCTAATGCCGAAGTAGCGGTGGTGCTTTGCATGGCCCATCGGGTCTGGGTATTGGAATGTTCCCTTTGTTTTTTTTTTCACTTTACATTTACTCTTGGCTATATGGCTTTTCAAACTACTTCTTTGATATTTCGCTCTCATCATCTTCTTTTTTTTTTGACGAGTGACTTGCCAGGTGTGAGTAACGAGTAGACTACGTCATCTAGACCAATCATCATTTTATTTTTAATTGTTGGTTAGAGTAGAGGGAAGGAGACGGGAATAGTTAAGAGGATGGAGTCTGGGGCTGATCTTGAAAAAAGTTATTCCCGGGAGCAACAGGGTGTAGGGCCTACGCATGAGGCTATCACGTCGCCGGTTGCGTTGGTAAGAAGTTTTACGTCGAAGAGTCAGAGGAGTGTAAGCAGACAGCGGTGTATGTGTTTTCTTTCGCCCTTTCTTCTTGATTTCACTCTTCTTTTCTTGGGAGGAGAAATTTGGGGTTGGTGGGAGAACGATGTACTGACGGATATCCTTAGCCGGCGTAGACACCACACGTGCAGCACGCTTGAAAGAACTCGAAAAAGACGTTGATGAATCTGATATCGAGCACGAAGATGTGATTGAGAGAATTGAGTCACAAGTATCGAGTTCGCACAATGGGACGAGTGCACCGTCTGAGACATCGAGTGCGCATGGTCAACTGCGGCGTGTCTTGAGATTTGAAGACGGGGATCCTGAGAACCCAGATAACTGGGGTCGTGTGAGCAGAATAACGGTTTATACTTGTTGTCCTGGTACTGATAACATTTGTAGTGGAAGAAAATTTATGCCGTCTTCGTTGCAATCATCAGTGGTAGGCATTCACCTTCCTCACACCCAATTTTCGCTCCTCAAACTAAGCCCACCTAGTCATGAACAGCACCATGAACTCAAGTCTAGCAGCTGGAGCTACAGGTCCCATATCCCGCCATTTCAACGAGTACAACGAGTACATGCTCGTTCTCCCTACCTCCATGTACCTAGTTGGGTACGCATTCGGTCCTATGCTATGGGGCCCACTGTCTGAGAGCTACGGCCGCAAAGGCACAATGGTGATATCGTTTGTCATTTTGACAATCTTTTCAGTTGCTTCGGCGCTTTCGCCCAACTTTGGCGCTCTGGTCGTGTTCAGGTTCCTCGTTGGTGTAGGCGGAAGCTGTGCGATTAGCGTTGTTGGTGGTATCTGTGCGGATATTTATCATGACCCAAAACAACGCGGTAGAAGTATGGCGATATTTATGGTGTGTTATTTCTCTGTTATGTATTATCGGGTTTGGTTTCTGATCTTGTGAATTAGGCTGCGACGACATTTGGTCCTATATTAGGACCTCCGATATCAGGTTTCGTTTCCGCGGTCAACTGGAGTTGGGCTTTTTGGGTTGGAGCCATCTTCGCAGGCGCGACATGGCCTATTTTCTACTTCTTCGATGAGACGTATGGCCCGACGATTCTGAAGCGTCGTGCTCAACGGTTACGCAAGGAGACGGGTGATGAGAGTATCGTTGCACCACTGGAGCTGGAGAAAACGGACTTGAATCACCTTGTTACGGTCATCTTGACGAGGCCAATACGAATGATTGTCTTTGAGCCACTCGTTCTTTTTACTTGTTTGTACTTGAGCTACGCATGTAAGTTCGCATCGTCATTTTCTTTCACCTATAGACATCCACGGCTGATGCTGACGAAAAATCCAGATTCCATATTCTACATTTTCATGCAATCCTACCCCGTAATCTTCACAGGAACATATGGTTTCAGCGCTGGAGAAATGGGTCTAGCATTCTTACCTATTGGCGTCGGAGCCACCATATCCGCAGGCATCTACCTTGCCTGGGACTGGTACCTTGCACGCGCCCAGCGTCTACAGCGCCCCTGGTCGCAACGTGAGGAGATGCGTCGACTCCCCCTTGCATGCATCGCAGGCCCCTTTTTCGTCATCAGTGCTTTCTGGCTAGGCTGGACAGCGCGAAAGGATATTCATTGGATTGTGCCAGTGCTTGCTGGAGTGCTATTTGGCATGGGCTATTTGTGTCTTTTCATGGCTCTACTCAACTACCTTGTCGACGCTTACGAAATCTTTGCCGCCTCAGCCATGGCTGCTGCTTCGCTGTCTCGATCATCATTTGGGGCAATATTGCCGTTTGCCACGAAGCCGATGTATAGGGCTATGGGTGTAGCGTGGGCGACATCCCTGTTGGGGTTTTTCTCACTAGCCCTGTGCGTGGTGCCATTTGTGTTTGTCAAGTGGGGAGAAAAGATGAGGGATAAGAGTAAATTTTGTCAGTACCTAAGACAGAAGAAGAGAGAGGAGGAAGAGGAGAGGGAAAGGGAGCGAAGGACAAAGGGGGGAGCGGTAGAGGCTGAGGTGGATGAGGTTAAAGGGAAAGAATATGTATGAGTTGTTCGCATCAGTTATTCGAACTTATCAATTTGCAACTGCTATCAAGCTTTTTGGATTTAAAAGTGCTAAGTTTTTGGCCGAATCAATCAAGGTCTCAAAAGTGAATGAAGTGGATTCATTTATGTCAAAGTAAAGTGCAGGAAAGTCAAGTGCGCGAAGAACAGCCAGCACTTGTACTAGCAGCTCTATAGTAGTAGCAACTGCATAGCATACTATAATTTAGAAACAGCCACCACGGAATAGCCATTACCACATCAGGACAATGGTGGGGGCTGGTATACCATGCGGGGTAGCCTTACACTGCAAGCTGAACAACATCACCTATGCACATTCAATGGTCCTTCATCTTACCTTTATCCCTCCTCATCACCAGCCTCGACGCATGCAAGATGCACCGACGATTTGAGCACCAACCAGACAAAGGTGGCGCAATGGGCAGCGCAAAATCTCTCTTACCATTACCCTTTGCACAACCAGCAGCTGCCAAACAACCACCAAATGATTCACCGGCCCTCTCAAACATCACATCTTCAAGCAAGGACCCGTACAAGGCAGCTAAGGAAGCACTGGACCGCGATGGCTTCGTCGTCCTCTCCGCATCTCTCTTCCCATCCTTCGACCTAGACGCCCTTCGCGCCGCGGCCTCACGCATGACCACGGCAGCACGAGAAGGAAAATGGCCCTACATCCGTACCCTACCCAAGCAATTCCCGCCCTGGCCCCAAGATCCCTCAGACGGTATATGGGGCGTGCAGCACCTCCTCCACCCCTCCAACCCAGATCATCTTGTCTTCGCCAAATCCTATTTCGACGGCGAACTCCTGAAATACGTTGCCGCGCTGATCGGATGCGGCGAAGACGATTTAACCATGGAACTGTACAATATGCTTGTACGGCCAGACAAAGAGTTTAGTCTAAGGTGGCACAGAGACGACATTGCTGCGACGGCCACGGCGGAAGAGGAACTGGAGCGATTACAGAAACCAGGTCATCACGCTCAGTGGAATCTAGCCTTGTACGATGACAACAGTCTAGTGCTCGTTCCTGGGTCGCATAAACGCGCACGTACAGATGTTGAGCGCAATGCGGATCCCTATGAAGCAAATATGCCCGATCAAATCACCGTGAAGTTAAAGGCGGGTGAAGTGGCGTTCTACAATAACAATATTCTTCACCGCGGCGTGTATGATTGCGCCAAGGAGAGAATGACGTTGCATGGTAGCATTGGGACTCCACTGGCGGGCAGCCAGCGAGCGAGGAATGTGCTGCAACATGGTGTGGGGGAATGGGCCAAGGAGTATGACTTTGAGGGATTCGAACCGGAGATGGCGGAGCGAGCGAAGAAGATGCGAGAGAGACTAGTGGAAATGGGAGAAAAGAGTGGGGATGTTGGCTTCTTCTCAAAGGATGAATAATTCTGGGAATACCTCCGAGTGGTTCCTTGTTGTTTGAGTCTCTCCTAACCTTCCTGTCAATCTCTCTTCATCTCAATAGCTGTAATACCTTTGAATTGATTTCTATTCCTCATCCATGCTCACGGTACCCACCAACGGTCTGATAATGGGGCCGACAGCACGTGCAAATAGTGTCCATACAAGATTATCTGCTGTATCCGAGACGTAGTCACGCCACACATATTCAATGTTGGACCAAAAATCATCACCCCTAGCAGACACACACATCATGATGGAATGATAGTCACGGAAGGTTTGGGCCATTTCAGTTTGGGTGCTTCGGATATCTTTTTCATTCAGTACGTAACCGGCACATCCCATGGACTACAGGTGCTGTACCTGAGCCCGTTCCTCTCATTTCATGTCCCGCTATGAAGCCTGCATCCCAATATAGTGACCCGTTCATTTCATGAAGACGCCGATCGGAAATGGAAAGAGGAATGCCGTTGAAAAACTGAAAGAGGTGTCCCGAGTCTCGCGTTTGGATTCATTGACTTGTCCGTAAACGCGAATTTACTCGGCGTCGCCAATCGCTCGGGCTAGGCCGTGTTAGTTTGTTTCCAACGGTTTACCCCCCCAAGGTCCAATTCATGTGGAGCCGAAGGGGGTAATATCACAAGGACTGAATGGCGGACATACTGTAGATGCTGAGCTTGGAATGACCGACAACCTTCTTGATCTG